CAATGTATATGACAGTTACTCCTCCCCCATCTGTTCTGAATTAGGTGTCCATTGCTGTGTAACAAATGATCCCAAGCTTTATTATCTTACAGTCTCTATGGGTCAAGAATCTAGACCCAGATAATACAGGTACTTCATAGGAGTGTCTCAAAATGCTTCCGCCACAGTGTCTCCTGGGACTCATGTCTCAGACTAAGGCTGCACATGGGAAGGATTTGCTTCCAAGTTCACTCATGTGGGTATTGACAAGAGTCCATTCACTGTTGAACTGAGGACTTCAGTAACTTGCTGACCTTCTGCTGGACACTTCCCCAGACTCCAGCACTGTGGCTCAAAACCTTCCAGTTGGCTTCTCTCAAGGTCATAGTCTACTGGTAACTTAATATCTGATGTGACATCCCATAAATTTTGTTACATGTGTGTGCGTGTGTGATGTGTGTGATGTATGTACATGTTTCTGTGGATGTGTGCATGTGTGCATGCAGGTCTGGATACAGATATGTACATGTGGGTATGGAGGCCACAGGTCAGTCCTGGTTGTCCTCAAGCTCACTTCTCTGCATCTTTTGAGGGGTTCTCACCGAACCTGGAGCTCATAGGTTTGGCTACACTGGCTGACCAATGAACTTCAGGCGTCCATCTGTCTCTAATCTCTACACTCCCCTAGTGCTGGGTTAGATGTATACCACCACACCAGACTCTTTACATGGGTACTGGGGGGTTTGAACTCAGGTCCTTATGCTTGTATACATTGTATAAGGCACTCTACCACCTGAGATTTCTCTCCAGATACATTTTCCCAAATTCTTGGTACAAAGTGGTCACCACAGCCCACTCCCAGTCAAGAGGAGGCACTATGCGAGTAAATGAACATCTGAAGTCAGGGTCCATTGGAGGACATCTTGAGAGTTCCTATTATCTCTCCTCTGTCTTCAACAAGAAAATGAGAATGGAACACAGTAAATACCCTGATGATAAGAACTGGGCCTTATTCCCCTCTGTACTCTCAGATTCTAGTGTGGACCTCAGCTCTTGTTCTGGGTGCTTTCTTCCAGAAATTTCCTTCTTTCTTAAAAGGAACAAAAAGCGAGAGGGACTCTTCTAAGTCTCATGATGCAGAGGGTGCTTTCAGATTAGCAGGGTACAGTGAGGTTCAGAGTAATCCCTAAGATAGGGGTAGAGCCATGCTTGGCTGTATCTACCCCTTCCATTACCCTGTACTGCTTCTTCTCTTCCTCCTCCAAAAGCTTCTTGATGAAAGAGAAAGAAAAAGTCATGCAAGGCATAACAGTGATATCCCAAAAGTGAGAAGACAGATTGAGACCAGTCTCCTCACACCCTGCAGCTAGGGGGCTAAAGACATAATTATCTGAGCTGGACACTGCGTTTTATTAGTTGCTTTAGCTTTCACAGCAAATTTTCAAGGGGGAAATATTGTGTTCATTTTCTGTATCTCAGAAAACTGAGATTTGCTGAAGTCAAATGACATCCTGAAGTTCCCATATCTGGCAGATAACTGAAAGTCAACCCCAGGCCCCCTAGTGCTCCAGCCTTGTTAACAGATTGGAAATAACAGAGAAGAGGGAATGCAGGCTACTGCACCAAGAGTCAGCATCACAAGGCATGATGGTTAATTGACCGTCCTCTTGATTAAACCGAGAGGTATCTAGGAGATTAGTAAATCACACCTGGGTGTGTCTGTAGGGGAATTTCCAAAGACAATTGGATCTTAAGGGGTCTGACCAATGAACGGTTTAATCAACTGATAGGCTCAAAATCTGAAGAGCATTCTGATGGGTGATGAACTGTGGAAGGCGGGGCCTAAATGAAGGGTCCACCTGATCTAGTCCCTTTCCCATTATTCCTTTGTGCCTTCTGGCTGTAATGAGTTGGGCAGCCTGCCACCATGGCATTCTGTCTCCCCACAATCCCTGTGCTGAGCATGGACTGAGAACACGGGTCAACAGAATTACTTCCTCCTTTCACTGTGTTCTTCATAGGTGTTTGTCATAGCAATGAATAATACAACTATCTGAAGGATGCTTCTGGTACCAAAGATTGGGTAGACAAAGACTAGATGATGGCTATCTCACTATCATAGGGTCCCTCTTGGTTTGGGACCAACACTAGTGCTATCTCTTGCTGACCATCCTTCTTGAACTCACTCTTGGTTCTGCACAAGCAAGACTGAATGCTAGTATCACAAATGAAGATTCCCACATAAAGGAGAGGTTGAAGGACCACTCAAGCAAAGACAGCCCTCTTTATTGGGCAAAAGGTGGACTTCGTCTCTCAGGATAACAATTGAAAACAGGAAACTACCTTTAGCATTTGAAAGTTCTGAAGTGTTCACCTTTAACACTCAGTTTCATTACCAAGCAGTTGACCTCTAAGCCCGGGAAGTGGGGCACAGAAAAGGAGTCTCTGACTTCTCTTTTGAAGGTATTAAAAGGAGGAGGAGCCTGGTAGCTATGCAGAGGAGACAGTGTGGAAGAAAATCACCTCTCCACACCGCTCTGTAGCCTCCATATGCACATGCTTGTACACACACACACACACACACACACACACACACACACACACACACACACACCACACCTCCCCAAATCTGATGAAGTTCTCTATTTTCTCCAACCACAACAGATATTTCAAAGTAAATATCAAGACTCTATACTCCCCCCCCCAAAGGCCCAAGAGCTCTGGTAACCCATGGCTGGTTAACATTCCCACCTAGACAAACTCGGGTTGGGCAGCTGCTCATGCCTGGAGTGGCCTCATCCTAGGACAGAAAGAGACCTCTAGTGGCCAACACCTCTGTCCTGTTTCACTTTCCCAAGGGTTTTTATCTAAACTCAGCCACAGCCAAGGTTCATCCAGCTCTTGCTGCCTGCCCATGGTATGGAATTGCTGTGTCTCTGTTATTTTCTTTAATCTTGCTAGCTGCAATGTAAATTCATATATGCTGAGGCAAGGGAGAAAAAAAATATATGCTGCTCTGAGTAATTGGTACCGATAAATGGAATGCATGACTAAGAACCCACTTTTAAAAATGTAGCAGAAATCAGAGCATACTAGTTCTGAAACAGTTGATGCCTAGTTATTAAAAGCATGGTGAGTATGCTACATTTTGTTTGCAGGAATTAGTTTCTCCTACGGTGATATGCGGCGATAAAGCCAAAGGACAGACTAATGATCAGGAATCTTAGGTTCAGGCCCTGACAATCTCACTTTCCTGTGCAGTCACAGAACGAAGATTTTGGACAGGATGTTGTGTAAGCTCCCACACAGCTCTGTGCTTCCATGCATGACATGTATGTGCTACTGTGGCAAAGGGCTGAGGTGCAATGGCTGAGTTATGCCATTCCTGTCAGGAGGAAATGCTGTGGCCTCCCCTTGCAGGCTGCCGCAGCCATGGTAGATCAGAACACATAGGGGATTTTACAATTGGCAGGGGCCTCACCTTAATTCACAACTCCTGGGAGCTGGCTGTCAGGGGAGAGCTCAGACTTGTTACCAGCCCCTTCTGAATTGCTAATGCAGGAGAACTGCAGAGTCCCTGCCAGGGTTCCCATACTACTGACTTCCTCAGCTGTGGACCAAGGCTGCGGCCACTTGGCTGGTACATCAGCCTTTCAAACCATGTGGTCCTTCCCTGGTGCTAATGGCGTTCAACATAAAAACACTGCCCTGACAAATGGAGTTCAGCCTTCTAGCCTCCCAGGCTCAGGATACCAGTCAAATCCATCCCTGACACCTTCTGTTTACAAAGCAGCCTCAGGCCACTTGCTCTAAAATGCTTAGGGCTCTTGGCTTTTGGAGAGAGGTGCCCATCCCTGGCTCTATATGTAGATAATATGCTCCCATCAGTAACCACCACTGTATCAGACTGCAGGAGATAGGCAGCTAGGAACAGAATGTTGGGGGGCAAAAAGGTGTGGGGGTAGGGAAGGAGACACTGTTCTTCTGGACGGATTTCTTGGGCTAGAGAGAAAACTGTCTACCTCTGTGCTTACCAGTCTTTTTGATAGGTGTTGTGTGTGTAAGTCAGAGGACTGTATTTGATCATTTGTGTTGTTCTAATAGAATACCTGAGACTAGGGTAAATTGCAAAGAATAAAATTTTGCTTCCATAGCTCTGGAGGCTAGAAACCCAACATCAAGGCTCTGAGCAGATGTAATGTCTGTCCAGGACTGCTCTCTGCTTCCAAGATGGTACTGATGCTACAGCCTCCAAAATAGACAAACACTATGTCCACCCCAGTGGAAGAAATGGAAGGGAATGAACACATTCACATTGTCTCAAGCCCTTTTCTGTGGTCCCTGATTCTGTTCACCAGTGCTCCATCTCAATGACAATAACATCCTTGAAGACCTCACCTTTTAACACCATCACATTGATGATTAAGTCCAGTTCATAAATTGTAGAATACACTATTCAGAGCAGGGACCAAGGGGCATATTTCCATTGTGCAGCCATATGAACAATATAAAGATCAGAATGACCATGATGAGATCACTGTGAGAGCAAAAGAGATTTCTCACAGGAGCACAGATCTGTGTCCACAGAGTGAAGGACCATAACAAACTTGCTCTCCCATTCCTAGTTAACTACTGCCTCTGTTCATCTGTTTATGGCAAGTGAACCCACTCAGCATATACTTACCTGTCAATCAACCTGCACAGGCTTGAAGCTTTGCTCTAGCAAAGCTAGCCATCACCATGCCCTTGCTGGCCCTAATGGCTGACACAACACACTCTTTTGATTTCTACACACCGTTTGTTTTCACCACCAGTCCACAGTTCACTGGGCACAAGAGCTATACATCCTATTTCCCTTCTTACAGTACATCAGGCATAGCTCACATAAGCATCCATACTATTTATAAATAAATGATGAGTGGAGAGTAAGTACTTCACACTTTTTGCACAGACTCCCATGCCTGAACTACAGGCTCAGCCATGTAATAGCGCTATGGTGTGATGCGAGTCTGGCTTCTTACCTGCTTCTCCTCTCTTCGTGTGTGATGAGGAACCCTGAGCATCCCTTGTTGGTGTTTTTACTTTTAACAGTCAGATAATCTGGTCGCCTGTCCCTGAGCAGTTACATGACATGCTAAACTCCCAGAGCCATCCATCAGGACTAATCAGGGATCTAGAGGAAGAAACATACCTATCATGCCAGTGCTGAGTCTCAACAACTGCCCTATTGTACAAATAAGAAATCTTATTACCCAGCATACCCATGGAGATGACTTGGCTCCTTCCTCTGCCCCCCTCTGGTACCCTTTCCATGGTCACATGGGATGAGACGGCTCATGGTATTCCCTCTTTCACAGCCAGGTAGTACTCTTCCCCAGTCGGATGAGGAGGGTGTGTGGGTAAGAGCAGATGAGAGTGGGTTGGGGGATGGGGGTGCCCCTGACTCAGCAAGCTGTGTTCAGCACGCTGGGGGGGGGGTCTCTTCTGCAACTAACACAAAGCTCAGGAAAAACACCCGCATCAGCCATTTCTCATAACTAGAAAGAGCCCAATTTCCAAGATGCCGGCTGATTTCCATATCCCTCCCCCCCGCCCTTTCTGAGGCACGATGTAATCTCTCCCCTGCAATATAATAAATATTTCACTTTCAAATCCCGATTCATTAAAAGAAGCCCAGGAGGGAGAAATAATAAGGTGTCGCTTTACAGCCCAAATAAAACAGTGAAAGATATATTCTATAATTTATACTTCTGACTTTGGGTTGAGATAATTCATATATCATTTTCAGTTAGGGACCCAAAATGGTGCTGCATCAGCAGATTGGCTGAAAAATAACTTTTCGTATTACGTTATGCCTTTCAGTAACATGCCCTGGTTATCATACATCAACACTGGGTTGACTTCAAGTGTCTCCGCAGCTCCTCCTGAGTCATTCTCTTTCCTAGACAGTGTGACTTGCTCTCCTCGGTACAGATGGAGGCCCTGGGCTGAATGCATATACATTCTCCGCAGCACAGAAGCGGAGCTCCAGCCGAAATCACCTGGACAGGAGACATTTTTCTTGCCATTATTACCACAACCTCCCCATTCTTCACCTCTAAGGATCGGAGAGCTAAATTGACCTCAGTGGGAGATATGCTACCTGGCATTTTTCCAATCGAGGTGTAGCATTTTTACAGCCAGGGCTTTTTAGAAGATGAAAACAAAACGACTCTAACGAGGCAGGTATTTTTGAGCAAGTTATTAATTTCCCTGAGCTTGAGACTTGGAAATTTAAAAAAAAAAATGGAGATGATAAGAATAATAGTGAACCAAACAGACTTTGGAGTGCTACCTGAGGTGGAAGTCATACAATGTGGTGAGCATTTAATGCACACTTCTGACAGACACACGCCAAGCACCAGGCTACTTGGAAGGTGGTTTATCTCATTAACTCTCCTGAACCCTGACTTCCACTGGTGTCAATGGAAGTGAGTCTACAAAAGCTAAGCCATTGGCCTGGGATGGTAAGGAATTCATAATAGGTACTGAGAATTACACTTATACTTGGTTTCTGTGACAAAGCGTTTCCCTAAACTTCTCATTTGACCCTTATAGTAATAATGGGAGCGAAGTTAGGCAGCAGAATGATTATGAGAAAATGGGTCCACACACCCATTGTCCAATGCTGCTTCCTCCTGTGGTTTTGCCCACACACTTGATTACTCCAGTAGCCCTTGAGTTCAGATATCTGATGAATGCTTACAGTCTTTGGAATCCTTCAAGTCAAGCAGGGAAGCATCGAGCCATCTCTGCCAATCACCTTTCTACTCAGAAGATCCTAGACTCCATGTTAGACTTCCTAGCACTGTGGCAGAAGCCTGTGAGAAGTGGATGAAGAGAGGAGAGCTTTTTTTCTTTTCAGCTCATCATTTCAAAGGCTTAACCTCATCATGTTGGAGAAGCTGTGGTAGACTACAGAAGCTGACGCCATGGTAGCCAAGCGGCAGAGGGAGAGCACAAGAAAGAGCCAGGGAAGAATATCTCCCCCAAGTCACCACTCCCAATGACCTACTTTCTCCAGCTGGGTCATACCACCTAAAGTTTCTAGTAGTTTTCTAGGTATTAACACACAAACCCATGAGTTAAAGTGACATGGGTCTGTACAGTTTGTTATTCTCCCAATTCTCAATATTCTCTATTGAGGTTTGAGTATAAATATGAACTATAACACTCCACTTGTCTGGGAAGGTCCCTATTGAGACCAATCTTTTGTCCCATCTGACAATCAGACACTAGGCAGAATTATGCAGTCATAAGTACAACAGACTATAGGGGTTTCAATAGCAGTAGAGGCATTGGGCTGACATGGACCTGCCAAAAGTCTTCTGAGGGACACTCATACTTCACTTCAGTTTCATTTTCATTTCCTGGGTTGTTGAGTGGAGACCCAGAGAAAAATAGGACCTAGTTGTACACAGGTGATGTTATCCTCAAGTCCCAAGCCCAGAGTTCCTGATCTCACATTCTGTATTATAAAAACTCCCCAGAACAATGTTCTATAACATCCCAGATGTCCTGAAGTCAGTGTGTAAGAATAAGATAGCAGGAGGAGTAACAACAGTAAGAGGTGTGGATGGAGTTCACTATGAGCTTAGTGTCTTATGAGATGCAGTAGTTGTCAGCCTCTGCAAAAACCCTGTAGTGGGTTAACAGCTCTATTAGCTCCATTTTATAGTATAAAAACTATAAAAACAAACAATCTAAAGCAAACCTTTTGGTGGCACATTTATAGAGTGAGATATTATTTACCAACAAAAGCCAATGAGAGGGGCTCTGCAGATGGCTCAGTCAGTAAAGTGATAACTGCACAAACATGAGGACCTGAGTTTGAGTCTCCAGGATCCACATAAAAGCTGCCATGTGGTTCATGCACCTATAATCCCAGCTTTGAGGCAGCAGAGAGAGAAGGATCCCTGTTTAGCTTGCTAATCTGGCTAAATCGATGACCTCTAGGTACAACTGGAAATCCTTTTTCTGGATAAATAAGATGAAGGGAGACTAGTTGAGGAAGATGCCTAGCATTGACCTTTGGTTTCATCATACATGCTAGTATTCAGGCATCTGTACTGGCCTGTCCTTGGGGTTCTGACAGGATACACTCTTAGCTGCAGCCACCAAGAGCACCACCTGTGCATATTCATTATGTTCCCTTTTAAATAGGCCCTGCCCACTTCCCATCCTTCTCTCTCTTTTTCTCCCTCAGTTCCTCTTTCTCTCCCTCTTTCCTCTCTACCCTTCTATCCTCTCAACCCCTCTTTCCTCTCTCCTCTCTCCTGCTGCTGCTCCTGTCTCCCCCTTTCCCTTTCCTGTTTTTATGATCCATTTCCCTAATTAAAAAAAAAACCTCTGCTTGAACCCTGTCACTTGGCATCTTTCTCTCTAGCATCACTTTTCTTAAATTACAACAATACACACAGACACAGACACAGACACACACACACACACACACACACACACACAGAGAGAGAGAGAGAGAGAGAGAGAGAGAGAGAGAGAGAAAGTCAATGAGCTATCAAGATATGAACAGAAATAGCGAAATCCTAATGGCATATTACCAACTAAAGAGAGTCAATGTGGCAAAACTACAGGCTGTCTGATTCCAACTGTATGACATCCTATAAACTGGGGAAGAGGTCAAAAACCTCAGTGGTTTTGAAAGGCTCTCTCTCTCTCTCTCTCTCTCTCTCTCTCTGTGTGTGTGTGTGTGTGTGTGTGTGTGTGTGTGTGTGTGTGTGTAGAGGCACCACACAGAAGACTTTCAGGGAGTAAAATTATCCTATGTGATATTGTAATCATGGACACATCACATCACACATTTGCTGACATCTATAGACTTCACACTCCAAGAGTGAGCCTTAAGATTAGCTATGGCTTTAAGTGATAATGACATGTCAGTGCTGGCTCATCAGTTACATCAAATGCCCCATTCTGTTAATAGTTTAAGGGAAGCCTTGAATGCAGGCCACAGAAGGCTTGCCAGAAACTATCCCTGTCCCTAGTTTCTTCTTAATTTTGTTAAAACTCCTTGAAAAACTACAGTCGAATGTAAAAATCCTCAACAATAAAATATAGGTGCAAAGAAAAATAAAGGAGAGTGAATGAAAACTTTGTTTTCATAGTGAAAAGCAAGAGGGAAAGGTGGAGGGAGAGGGAGGAAGAAAGTGGAGGAGAGGATAAAGACAGAAGAGAGGAGGAAGAGGGGGAGAGAAGAAATAGAAGAGGGAGGAAGAAGAAAAGAAAAGGAAGAGAAAGGAAGTTGTGGGGAGGAAAGGAGAAAGGTGGAGAAGAAAAAGAAGAAGGAAGAGAGAGGAAAAGTCAGAGGAAGAGGAGAAGGAGGAGGAGGGAAGAGGAAGAGGAAAGATGCTGTCAAGACACAAGAAGGTGCACATTGCTTGATGAAAGAAGCCACTGTGGAAAGACCACACACTGAGTGATCCCAGCTCCATGACATTCTGGAAAAGGCATAGCAACAATGAAAAGATGAGTAATTGCCATGGCTGGTGGAGAGGGAAGGAGACAGGAAGGGATGCACAGAGGCACTGAAGAATTTAAGGGTGGTGAAAGGACTGTATAACACTGTGACATTCAACACACGCCATAACCTGGAGAAGGCAGAACACACATGTGGCTCCATGTTCAATGTGGACTTAAGGTTAACATCACAAGGCTAGCCATGGCAGCTCACTGACTGTGACAGCCACTGTGGGCACCAAAGCAAGACCTTGAGTGAAGAAGCGGTGGATATGAGGGACCTGCATACAGCAGCTCTCTGGTCTTTTCCCTCAGTCTTTATGTTAGCTTAAAACTACTCCAAAAAAATGACAGAAATAAAATCTGAAGGAACTATAGCAAAAAATTAGTCACGCAAGACTACTCGGTCAGTAAATGGGAAAGCGAGATGGAAATCTAGACTCTTCTGGTTCCTGAGCATAGGCTGTGAAGTTTTAAACCAAGAGCCTCAACGGTCTTCAGTTCTGGTTCTTCATCAGAATTCCAGCTCTCCCTTGATAGGACTGTGAAACCACCTCTCTCTCAAGCCCTCGTTCAGATGATGGGTCACTGTGAAGTATGGGGAAAGTATTTATAAACTGCAGTGTCCCCAACAAATCTAAGAAATGGCCAGGAGCACACTGAATTCCTAACCACTGGCCTGTGACAAGGGCCAGACTCTCTGGGAGTCCACCAAGTGTGCTCGGAAGAAACTATGAGGTGGTCATGAGGACACTACTATCCTGGGTCAGCCTCTACCAACTCAGTCTCCTAGGACAAAAGAGCAGTGGCTCTGAAAAGCTCTTGGAGCCCATAGGGTATGGGTGGATGAGTGGTAGACACAGACACAGACACACAGACACACAGACACACAGACACACACACACACAGAGAGAGAGAGAGAGAGAGAGAGAGAGAGAGAGAGAGAGAGAGAGAGAGAGAGAGAGAGAGAGAGAGAGAGAGAGAGAGAGAGAGAGAGAGAGAGAGAGAGAGATTTGAGCTCTCAATATTTGTAAGAACAATTTCACTGTTAATAAAATGACCTTGTGTAAACAGCTAAACTCTTCTCAGTTCTCTCATCTTAGGGCAGGGACAACCACATAGGCTGCTGAATCAGGGTGAGATGCCATCACTGAAAGGATTATATGTGACTGAGCAGGGCTCTAGATTGGACAGATGACATAGGATATAGCAGTAAACTTTATCTTAGACCAAGGTGGGCCAGGTCCCCTGAGAGACCCCTGCAGCAGGCTGGAGTGTAGCTCCAAGGACCCGCTGTATCCTCAGAACTAAAAAGGACATGGACAAGTGGCTTTGACACCTCCCCGTGAACAGTTCTACTGTAGGCAGGCCCCTTGCCATAGGTCTGTAATGTAAAAACAGCCATCAAGCAGCCAGGCACTGAGCATCTCCAGTTCTTCTGGGCACTTAACCTGATTCTACTGTGGTCTGCACATCAACACTTCAGTATTCATGGGATGGGGTCTTCATCCTGTCATCCCTGTGCCATCACAAGCAGGGAAAAGAAATACCTTTTCCACGTCTCAAGTCTGAGATGGGAAGACTGGAGGAAGCCTGGCACTCCCTTAGTGGTACCCAGGACTGCATCTGGGAGACAAGGGATTCTGTAGGTACTCATCTGTACACAAACTGTGTAGTGAGGGACATTGGCTTCACCTCTCTGAAGGGGGCTGTGGGGTGTAGAGCTGCCAATCTGCAATGTGCCATCTGCTTCTAAGAGTTCCAGTTATGTGTGGGACTCCTCTTAATTAAACACACAGATATTAAAGCAATTTTTAACTAACAGGGAGAGCAGCTGGAGTGGAAAATCACCTCCCATTCATGTAGCTCTCTACTGCCTTGCCTGGCCATTGTTCTCTGCCCCCCAAACCTGATGCTTCCTATAGCGTTTTCTAGTGTTGGAAATTTTACAAAAAGATCTTATTTTCTTCAAAGACAAAAGCTATCTTTTAACCCCCCTTTTCATGTTCTCTGAGGTCTGGAGTCCTGGGAGAGAGAAGCCTCCACCTTCTAGACAAAAAGAGAGAAATTATAGGAAAGAATAAACCCGCCATCACCCCCTTTTCGTCCCAGTAGAAGCATCCTTCCGATTGCCAGCCAGTGCTCTAAGCCCTGGAATTAACCCCATTATGCTGCATATCAGCCATCCACAGATACACACAATGCAAGTAGAGAGCCTTTTGATTCGCTGATACAATTTGGTGAACAGAGCAAAAAAAAATTTTTTTCTTCTTTTCATCAGAATTGCTCTTACCTTTTGTTCCATTTCTTTAAGGGCCACTGCTCTCAGCCGGGCCATCATTGACTTTTTACTGAGGTGGTAGTTTTCAAAAGGCTCAAGTCTTTCCCCCTACCTACCTCAGGACTATCTGCATTTTAGCAGAGAACTCTGAAAGGTTAAAAAAGGCTTCAGTGGCAAAGAATGAATGAATCCCTAATGGTAGAGTTTCAGACATCAGGAGGTAGTTCTTTTGTGACTGGGGACACCTCTCTGCAGGGATTCACCTTCTCCCTGCACCTCATGCAGGCCCCGCCTTCATGGCCCACCTGGGGGACTTGGGAAGGACAGCCCACTTTCTCTCCCAATGAAGAAAGAGGCTCACAGCATCCCATCCCACAGCACCTTATATCCCAACATCAATGACCTGGGTCACACTTGAAGCAGGCCCTCTGGGGAAATACTGGCTTCTAAAGACAATATACAACTTCTTCTCACGAGCCTCTGCAAGCTCACTTAGATGGAGATGGCTAACCACTCTGAAGGTATGTATTCTTATAAACAGGAATAAAGGAAGTAACATATTTTCTCCAACCAATATCATGAGAGACTGGATCATTTCAGAGCACCATGTGGGGAGTCAGGTGGGGGACTCCAATGGAGAAGACTGTTATTTTTTAGCTCTATTTGCAGCTGACATGATTCTGTATTTACAAGACCCTAAAGCATCTACTAAAATCTCTTAGATCTAATAAGCACGGTAAAATTGCAGGACACAAAAATTGATTTTTAAAAAACCAGTAGCCTTTGTATATACCGGTAATGTACTTTGGCAGAAAGAAATTAGGACAAATATCCCATTCATAGTAACTTTTAAAAAAATTAAGCATCTAAGAACACACCTAACCAAAGAAAAGAAAGGTCTTGGCAATAAAAATGTCAAGACATTGGAAAAGGAAGTTAAAATGATACTTGGAGCTAGAAAGATCTTCCATGCTCCTGGGTTGGCAGAATTAATACCTTGAAGACGGCTATATTAAAAAGACAGTTTTTAAAACTGAGTTAGCTATGACTGTCACCCCAACAGTTTCATGTGTAATGGTAGAGATAACCAGATGCCCAGAAAGATCTGCTGCTCCAGTTAATAAATGTTATATGTAGAAATGCTCTGGGAACCAAGAAAGGTGGACAGTCACTTGGAAGGCTGTCCTGAGAAGATGAAAGAATAATGGAGCAGCATCCTGAAGAATGTGTCAAAAGGAAGAAGTGCACAGTTGATCTAGAGCCAGTCAGCACCAAGGTCAGAACACACAGAGCAGAATCTACCACCAGGGAATCCCAGGAGAGACAAAGGATTCCCTTAGCTAGAGGGATCATCTCTGGGTGGATCATCACTTCTCCCATTTTTTCTTCTCTCTCCAGGTAGGTGTTGGGAAACTGCCCAGCTGGTTCAGGAAACTAGTTTTATGCTAGCCAACCTCCAACCTGGGTTCGGGATGGACATGGCAGACCTCACCGTGCTATGCTGAGAGTCTGAGGGTTTAAGACTGCCCAGCTGGTTCAGGAAACTAGTTTTATGCTAGCCAACCTCCAACCGGGGTTCGGGATGGACATGGCAGACCTCACGTGCTATGCTGAGAGTCTGAAGGTTTAAATTTCTCCTCCTCAACAGCTGCCACCAGCCTGCTGCAAACAGGACTGAGCGATTGGGTGAAGTCACACCAGTAGCAATCTAAAAAATCACTGCTGCAAGAGAATGTTCCAGATGTCTTGGTTTTATCTTTTAAATCTATATCAATTTTTATTGTGTGGCATATCTCGTCTGTGTTTCTCTTTCTATAAAATTGGCATTTTCAACCACTTCCTATTGTCACACTAAGGTTCCCTGTGTCCCCCTGTGGTTTTTCTAATTCCCAGCATACCACCAAGGCCCCTGTGATACACTCTTCCGTGTTGAGAGGTGAGGGCTGGTGATGATGGGGTACATGGCTGTACCCTGAGCCCCAGCAAGAAGGCAGGAAAGGAGTAAGCACAGGTGCAGAGGGTCCATGTAGGAGGTGATATTGACTAAGAAAGGCAACGACAATAGAAACAAATAGAAAGAAATAAGGGTGCATCAGTACAGATTTACCAAGGCTTGATGATTGGGGGTCATTAAGTAGAAGGAAAAGTCCCAGGGGACTCAGAGTTTCTCCCACACCACTTATTACAGTCACCTTGCTATATAACAAATGAACCCCTAACATAGCAACGTCAAACATCCATGTTAAGTTCAGAGTCTGTGAGTTAGGAACACAGAAAGGCATAGTGGGGTGGTCGATCTCTGCTCAGTGATGTCTTGGCCCCAGCAGGAAGGGCCTGAAAGTTAGATAGCTTGATGAAACAATGGCTGGGGCAGGAATCACCTGGAGCCATACACATTGGCATAGCTAGTGGCTGATGTTTGCTGTCCACTTGGACCTCAGGTGAGCTGGTGACCGCAGTCACATGGCCTAGGCAGGCTTCAACTTCGTAGAGCTCATGGTTAGCTTCTAGGAACAAGAACATTGAGGGATTGAGGCACATGACATTTTTATGCAGCCTTAGAAGTCACTCTATCACTTCTGCTATATACTCTTTACTAACGTGGTCACAAAAGTCTGTGTGGGTTCAATGGACTCTGCCACTAGTTGGTAGAAAGGTCAAGATGACAGGACAAAAAGAACCTGTAGAACTGGGTGGAGCTTTTGTTGCTGGGGCCATACTTAGAAAAGATAATCTGTCACATTCCTCTTCAACTTTCATCAAGGTTTTTTTTTTTTTTTTTTAACTATAAAAGCCCGTCTTGTCACTGTGCCATTTGAGAGCTCTTGTCTTCACCTTTGCCTTCTCCAGAAACATATTAGCATCCTATCTTATTTCTAAAATGGTTTCTTATGAATCTGTGAAGTGAATAGATAAACAGATGAATAAATGGATGAGTGATGAGTTTCTGGAATGTCTCCTTGGCACGTGACACAGACACCTGCCTAGAGAAAATGGAGCCCCTTCAAGTAAGGGACCACTTAAGGAAAGTTGGTTTTATTGCTCTCACATCCCTCCTGTATGTTCTCGGCTAATCCAGCAATCCATTATTTATGTGTCGCCTAATTAAGGTTGTGAGTGGCTTGATCCTTGTTTACTTACGCCTATCCCGGAAGATTGCCAAGATTAAATAAAATTACCTGCAGGCAGGCGAGTCTCCCAGGGGCTGGGCTAGAAGAAAGAGTTGGAGAGGCTAAGAAGATGCCTGTTGGCCTTCTGGGAGAGCTTGTACCCCAGAAACCATCTGCTGTCAATCCTATGCATGTGCAAATCAAAGGCCCATGCCCCATTTACCTCACCAGAGGCACGATGGAGCACACCACAAGCACGGGTGAACATGTGTGTCCTGGTGCCCACAGCGCTGCCACTGTGTAAACGCATCCCTCACCACGCCCCTGTTCCTAGAGCTGTTGCTGCCAAGGCCAGTTCACTTAATAAAGATTCAGATAATCTACACCAAACAAAACTCAGTGAAGTCTGAAACTAACTAATCGAAAACGATTAGCTCCCTTCAGCCTCTGAATCCACCTTTTCCTTGTAAAACCAAAGACCGGTTCTTATTTGGATGCTGGCCCTGTACATTTAATGAAGAGAGAAGCAGATTGGCTCCAGTGGCAGGGGCAGGCTAATATTTTGAATGATTAGTAGCAAATTAGAAAAGCTTTCAAAGGACCATTTATATTTCTTCTACCCCTTAACAGGTTCTTTTCCTAAACTGTGATTAACCCATTCATGCCCAGTGTACTGTGGGCTCAGGGGACAGACACATATCATGGGAAAAGTTTCAGAATTGCCTGCACTCACAGCCAAGAGGCTATAGAGGACTCCACTGTCTTAGAAAAAGAAGAGAAGCCTTGACCGCCATTCTTCATCCTCCATCTGAGACAAAAGAAATGCCACTGCAATTGGTTGTTAGGGTTGTTAGGTCCTCCATCTGAGACAAAAGAAATGCCACTGCAATTGGTTGTTAGGGTTGAGGCAGTGAAGGAGATGAGGGTTCTACCAAGAGAGAGTAAATACAGAAGAAAGGGACACTCATTCTCAATATTGAGTAAGTGTGAATGCACTGGAATGACTCACTAGTCACTTATACAGCTGTGCTTTGCTGCAGGTACCCTTATACACGGAACCATGCTGGTCTTCTTCCTCTGGTGACTTACGGCTTAGGCTAGGACATAAAGTGGCAGGCTGGCTGTTGGATGATAATGCTACAGGAAAAGCACAGGAAGGCTTTGCCCCAACTGTAGGCTTTGAAGGAAGCTTCTGGAGGTTGGTGAGGTATACGTCTGAGTGAATTGGTTATGTAAGGGAGACAAGACAAGTTGGGGTAGAAGATGGGCAGAGGACTCTAGTGGTACCTGATATGCTGGAAAAATGGCAGGATGAATAAATGCATAAGGACAGCAGCAGTAAAGTCAGTGGTAATAACACCACTATATGTATCACTGGTGTAATATGTAGATATTTGGATTGCTGCACTCAATTCTAAAAAATATAAATTCTTTCCTTTATATACAAAATGTAAGGAAGTCATACAGAGATTAAAGAATGTTTCTGAAGTCGTGAGTGATAAAGTTGCAATTTAAATCAAGAAGTGAATCATGCTCTACCTTTCAGAGTCTCATCCCCTCCACACTGTTGTCAGCCACAAGGAGGCTTGTAAAGAATGTTTCTGAAGTCGTGAGTGATAAAGTTGCAATTTAAATCAAGAAGAGAATCATGCTCTACCTCAGAGTCTCATCCCCTCCACACTGTTGTCAGCCACAAGGAGGCTTAAGGGAAGCTCCTCAAGGTTCAGGAAATTCTAAATTAAAATATTCCTTTAGGAAAGAGGGGGAAGACTCATGATATTTAGGAAAAAAAAACTTACAAGTCTCAAGAAGTTCCTAAAACTGACAAGATACACAGGGCTATACCCATGCTTATTGAAATAATAAATGACTTCTGGGACAAGAGACTTTAGCAGGCTGCCAAGATGAGGCTCTAACCTGTTGAGCTGCCTGTAAGTCATGCAGAGAGCTCCAGGGTTGCAGCTTTCTTGAGTTGTCACCTATGCTGGGGAGAATTTTTCAGTGATGCCTTTGAGTCATCCCTGCTTCTGTAAGTGACCCCTCACCTACATTCCTACAAGTAACCACAGTAATTGTACTGGTTTACCAACTTGGAACATGATAGGATTGTACTTTGGTCTCTTATAACACATAGGTTTGCCAGCAGAATGGAGTGTGAGACAGTTGAACACACGTAGGTCACTTGCCACCCAAATGTTGTATCTACCATACATAGTAGTGAAAAATAAATATATAGAAAAAAGAGAGGAAATACACCCACAGCCAATGGGATAATAAGCCTTAATACACACGTATTAGTGACATCAACCTACTGTTGATCTCCAAGGTCTTCCCTAACTTTATTATGAAATCTATCATTCTTCTCTCCTACTAAAGAAAAAATAGAGGTGCAGCCTAACAAGCTAACAGGGGAATTGTAACCCAAAGACTTTCCCATTGGGAATAGCTATAAAATGCCCATAAAGTCCATGAAATAATGTAATGGAATCCTGGAGTGAAGAACAGGACAGATTCCTACATGTTGGAATAGACTTAAAGCAGTCCTCCTTGAAGCAATCACAAAGTGGGTCATTTCTCCAAGCAAACAAAGCCATCCATGACATGCATGCAGCTACAAACAGTTATGGTGTAGAGGGCTGTCTTGAGAACATTCCAGATAGCAAGTGAATGTACAATATCTGCCGGTGTTGTTTGAAAGAGAAATGCCCCCACAGACTCAATTGTTTGCACACTTGTCACAGCTGGTCGTGCTGTTTGAGAAGGGGCCTTTAGGAAGTGGAGCCTTGCTTAAGAAAGTAGATCGCTGGGGGTAAGGTTTTGAGGTTTTATAGCCTGTTCTATCTCTGCTTCCTGACTATTGTAAAGTGTGACCAGCTAGCCTCTCGCCCTCGACTTCATGCCTTCCCTGCCAGGATAACCTGCGTCATTTTGGAGACCCACTCATCTTCCTCAATCCAATCTAAGGCCCTCCCTCTGCAGAGAAGGACCCAAAACAAGTGTCTCCATCAGCTCCTAACTGACAAACCTGGACAGGAGTCAGCCTTTCCAACTCACAGCCCCAAGTGCTGTTCCAGAGTCTATGCAGCCATTTTTTTCTGAGAACTCAATAATTCAGACACTGCACTAATGTTTGGGGAGTGCCTGACAACTGCAGAGGGCACCAAGGAATGTGTACTTATGAATAGAGGTCCTGTTTTCACATTTGAGCCTGGGGAAGTCATCATTAAGCCAGAGCATAATCCAGAGAGATTCTGGGTGAAAACCAAGTGCTAAGATAGCCGGCTCCTGCTGTGAAATAGCAAGTATACAGTTTAAGCCTATTTGAAGCATGCACAGGCCTCAGGGCCTACAAATGGCACCAATGGCTTGAAGGAGAAAGCTGTTTGAGTTGGAAGAATGTTGTTTGGCACAAAATGCTTATCGGGCACCCAGGGTGGTAGGCCAATTATAAAATTAGCACTGCTCATATCTGCTTGGCCAAGTAGAAAGTAACTACCCTAAAAAGGGGCTAGGCATCCAAAATTAAGCAGGGGAAGTAAAGCCTCCTTCTCCCCTCTCTCTCCCTTTCTCTCTTTCTTTCCTCTCTCCTTCCTTCTCTTCCTCCCTCCTTCCCCCCTCCCAATAGCATGAAGCTGTTCTCAGAATCTCCCAGGCAGATGGAAGGAAAGTTGGAGGAGGGGCAGAGACAGGGAAATAAGTTCACATCATCAAACGCCCTCCCACTGCTTAATTTTTCCCTCCTTTCCTCCTTCCCTCCCTCAGCTGTGCATACTTGTACCTGATGTGTATGTGTGCATGAACATGTATGCAGGTGTGTGGACAGGTGTGTGAACATGTGAGTCTAGAGGTCAACACCAAGTGCCTTCTGTAATCTGTCTCCATTTTAATTTTTTTCTGAGACAGCATCTCTCACCAGAGCAATCTAGAACAAGCTGATTAATCCAGATTGGCTGGCCACTCAGAGTTCCCTGGGTTTAATTCTGTCTGCATCTCCCAGTAATGGGATGTTAGGTGTGTGCTGCTATGCCCAGCTTTCTCCCCAGGACTCATGCTTGCCTGGCAAGCACTTTACAGACTGAGCCATCTCCCCAAGTCCTCTCCTGCCATTTCTGTTCATGATTCCAGTCTGTACCCCGAATCACCCACCTCCAAGGACTGTGTACACGTAAGATCTGTCAGGCGAAATAAAAGAGGTATTGGAGTCTGGGAGATGTGAATTTGAACCACTCTTCCATTACTACCTGCTGTGTGGCATCAGACAGGTTATCCTGCCTCTCTGAGGCTCACGTTTCCCATCTGAAAATAGGGGCAAATATATAATATTTACCTGCTAGTGCATCTCAAATAATGTATAAGATGCCATCTAGTTAAGGTTGTTGAGTGCTATGTCTGAGTATTCATAAGACCCAATGTCACTTGGAGGTACCTAAATGAAATTGGCCCACATATCCAATCTGACTTGTGAAGACTCTTGGCTGGGGCATAATGCTTCTCCAGATTGCACCCAAGTAAGTTCAGTTTGGGGCTCACTTTATTATTCAGTGATAATCACCCTCTTCACTACATTCACACTGAGTTCCACAGACTTACGCTGAAACATGGGTATCAGAGAACCACATCATGGGCCACAACAACCTCAACTAACAAGATCATTCTCCCAGGAAGACCTTCATCCAAAGAGCAGTATTCCCTTGCAGCCTCTTTGCCCTTCTAGCTTCCAGCCTCCCCACCACCTCTCTCTCCCCTCCCACCACCTTCCCTCTCCCCTCCCCACCACCTTCCTTTCCTTGGCCACCAGCCTCCATCTTACCCAACCTTTAAATTCTTTGAGTCTTACTCAGAGCTGGTTGGGAGTTTCCTTATTTTGCTATGTCTTCTCACACTAACTTAGGGGATTTAATCATTTGTTTCAGAACTATACCATGTCAAAGTAATTTCCTACATACTCAGTTCCCTCCCTGGGCAGTTACTCAGAGCTGGTTGGGAGTTTCCTTATTTTGCTATGTCTTCTCACACCAACTTAGGGGACTTAATCATTTGTTTCAGAACTATACCATGTCAAAATAATTTCCTACATAGTCACTTCCCTCCCTGGGCAAAGGTCTGGGGACAGTAGTTACTATATATGATTGTGTTCTCCGTGATCGG